ATAGATAAAATCTCAGCATTTACTTCCATCGTACAGCTGTTGAAATTAGCTGTCCTAATGAAACAGTATCAACAAACATAATTTATGCTACAAGAGAAATAACAAACAAATCCACTAAATTGATCGATTTCACCGAAATTTCTATAAAGGTAATAAAAGCGAATTAAATAGAAATTTCAACCATGCAAACTGATCGTAATATCTAACTGTCATGCTTAAAATCGTATCGATCTTACCTTAGGTTCCTTTCCCTCTCTATATTGTTATACATACACATCATTCAGAATTTAAAAAGCGAACTAAATTACATGTTGACATTTATACCAATGCTTTCACAAAATAACTTTACCACTTAAAATTAAATACAAGCAGGCTGACAACACGCAATGAACTTACAGAAATCCTTTTTTGTGAAAATTACATAAATCAGTTTAGTTATGAATTGTAGATACTCTTTGCTGACAGGTAATGAATAGTACAAAACATCTATTATTTCTGATTATCCCTTCCAACAAAGTGATTTTGAATCATATAGTCTACTAACTAATACAATGTACCTTGATCCACTGAATTCGATCAATCAGGTCTAAGAACTGAACAACATGACACTGGTGACTGCAAAGTTACCAATTAGTGCGAATGTCTGAAATCATGGAGTTTTTTGGGACACTATAATCTTGTATTTGCATCACTGAATCTGAATCATTCACATTGTGACACAAACTACAAAATCAATTTCATGTAAATTGTGATCACTGTTATAAGATTCGTCCACAATTGGGTAGCATCATTGTTTTCAATGTATGATTTTGAGCAGCAGATTAGTGGACTCTAATCATTCAACTTTTACCCATTTGGTTACAAGTTCGAACCTCGTCCCATCTTCATTGACCAGGTAGTACCATCTACTCTTACACAATAAATAATAATGGGATCTGAATATAAAAACCTTATTTATGTATTTATTTAATAAATTTACTCCCATTACGCAACAGTCACAAACAGGAAGTAAGCTTGCATACAGTCATATAGTTATACTATTTCATACAAAGACGTGATTAAAGTTGCAGATTATTTGACCGCTTATTTAACCAGCTAGGCTATACACAATCAAAAAATAATCCAGTGGTGAAGTGCTCTAACATGGTAACATACAACGCTAACACAATCTTACATAAGTAAACACATTTTATTCACAAAAACACTAAGCCAGATAGCCAGGCCCTAATTTTATGTGTATGGAAGACCTAAGATACCTATACCTTCTGATTGTTTACTTATTAAATGTTCAATTATGTTTACTTTTCTACTTAATATTTGGTGTTTATGCATATTATTTTATTAAGGAAAAACACATTTTGATGGAGATTTGTCTTCTCTTGTGATCTATATTCACTCAATGATTTAAATGGCCAGTTAGTTATTATTTGAACATTGTGTTACTGAGCTTCATTACAGATCAGCATTTCCCTTAATAAGTAGCTGTATATTGTCAAAAATGACATAATTTCAAAGGCATATATAAGACTGGATTTATATTGTTTAAATTTTCGTGGCAAGTATAACACTATTCTAAGCTAAAATGTAAGTTTATGTATTGGAAAAGTAGCCTCTCGTTAGGACTTTAAGGACACTTGTGTTATGATTAGGAATTTGACAAGCGAATGAGTTTTGAAGTGTCAAAATGAATCAACAGAATGTCGATCGATAAATGGACTGCTGCTTACGGGGCATATATTGGAAGACAACTGTCCAGTAGAAGTATTTTCCTCCCAACAGAATAAGAATATATACAAAATATTGAATATACAAACAAGCATGATCAGAAATTATTAAATAAATAGGTGGTAGAAAGGTATGGCAACTAAAAGCTAATCGCTCTTCAAAGATATGATCAGATTGTTCGAAATGTATTGCGTAAATATACCACATAATTCTGATAAACTTCGTTTTCTCACTGCATTATCAAAGATATTAACGTCTAACTATCGAGCTTATTCCTTCCTCCATCATTATTAACATACTCATTATTCCGTTTGGTAGCAGCGGAGATTTATTTGCATTTGAAAATACTTTTCACCAGACTGAAACCAGATCAGTAAGGCGTACTTAATGGTTGCCGGTATAATGCGAACCAAATTGGAACTGAGAAATTCACTAAAAACATCAAACTGAATGAAATACTTCAGTAGAGGAAAGAATGATAAGGTATATACCATAGCAAAGAAATAGATCTAACAAAACACTTTCCAGGCAGAATTCTAGTCTGAAATTTGGGTTTCAAAAACCTCAACGTCAAGTACTTATGAATGTAGATTGGTTTTAGTGAAATTTGTGGATGATAAGAAATACAGAATCAAACGCCATATTTTCCGATTCCCCTAGGTGATAAGAATAAAGAATATAGTTGGTTCATCCCGTTGTAGCGGACGCTACTAACAATATTGCTTGTAGGTAGTATATAGCGGGACGTAGCCTCGAAGCCATCACAGTCGTCAGACGGAATGGAGAGTTTCAGTATATCGAAAGCACGGCTTTGGCAGAGCACTCGATGACCAAACAAGAAGACAGTTTGGATCACAGAACACACTGCGAGATGCAAATGGATGTTCGAAAGCTATGTATACGTATTACGCGAATGCTTTGTAATTTCTCTTAATAAATAAGAGTTCTACCCATTGTCTTGATGTACATTTGGTGTAGCTGCCAGGATGTAAAACAAGAATATATATGTGTATGAACAACAATTAATTTGTATCTCACGGCATGGTCTGCAACCCAAACTGTCTTCTTGTTTGGTCATCAAGTGCTCTGCCAAAGCCGTGCTTTCAATGTACTGAAACTCTTCACTCCGTTTGATGAGCGATGACTTCAAGGCCACATCCCTCTATATACTACCTAAAAGCAATTTCGTGAGTAGTGTCCACTACACTAACACTTACTGAGTCATGTGAACAGATACTTATGAATGAGGTAGACAACAGGTTCGAATAAACAAGGAGGATCGAGAAACAAAATAAAAATAAAAAGTTTTCCAATGACAAACTGCATGTGATAACTTATTAGAAATATACTTAAGTTGTAACAACGACACGTGAATACAATGTGTTTTTGTGACCAAATACAACAGAGACGTAAAATAAACAGAATATCGTGATATACAGTAACAAATCATACTTATTAAGAATGATAGCATCACAATAATAATAACTGACAGTAATAATGACAATAATTAATATTATTATTATCATTGTGATTTAGACATAAACATGTAAACAAATTCTGCTGCCTTTCTTGACGAAACCTATTCAATACCATATCGATTTTAATGGTATATTGAACATCAAATTGTAAATTTACTGGCCTTTTTTAGTAAATTCCATGAAAATTATGGGAACGATTGTGATCATATTTATCAAAAATAGTAACTCTAGATGTTATGACTTTAAGCCCAGCTAATCATCACATGATTTATTCGCCAATCGAAATACGACTTATTCAATCTTAGTACTGTGCCAAACCAATGACGTTCGATAGGTATGAGCACTCTAGCGTCCTTATTGGTCCTTTTTCCTCCTAGCCCTCACAGTTCAGTCCAGAACACCGATACCAGTTCCCACTATGAGAGTCATTTATTTCAAACATACTTGGTTTATATACCAACCAAACAGATCATATCACACCATAAAATAGGAAATAGCAGTTATACAAGATCAAGCCAAAAAGTGGCTGTGAACGTGGGAGAATGTAATCAATAAATTGAACGTAATTTAAGAATGGTAAATCGTACAATAATAATCTATAGGTCAAAATGAAGCTTATAATAAGAGTAACATAGAGATATACATAATCTAGTTACTGAATAGTCATACAATAAGAATATATACATAATATTAGTCCATTAATAGGTCTCGGAAATTACCTATAATTTAATCTTCACTAAGACAACACTAGGATAGTTCAGAGAAAAAATATACCTGTTTTTTTTTCAACTAAGGCATTAATAATGCAGAAGAAAAATAAACACTTCATTATGGTGAAAGCAGACTATACAGTAGTTTCTAAAAACAAACTTATCTGCAGTATGAAAACGAATAAAACACGTTTATAACTCTTAAGATCAGTTAACTAGAATTGACAAATTTACTACACACCAATACTGATGGATACACAAGCACTAGATGGCCGTATTTATCCTTTCTTATATACAAGAAAACAGCTTACTTAAATCATTATTTATCCATCAAATATTAACGTACAGTTAGAAAAAATAAAATAATTGAGAATATTTCCGGCTCAGACGAATGTTTTAAGTAATGCAGTTATCCGAGTAAGACGAACACATTGAGGAGCTTTCACTATCGTCCTGGATAACGACAACAAATAGAAATAGCGGTTGATAATATTTCTTGCTTTGAAGTGAGTATAACAATTTTTAAAATTTCACTGAAATCATGAACCGATCTAAGTTAGACAACGTTAGAGAACGTTTTCGAAATATATCATTCAGCCAGTTAAATTCTACCTTGAAATGATATCCATTTCGGACTTCATTAGTATTGATTTTTTACTTATCATTTTAAATGCAAAAAATGTTTCGCCTAAATTACGCCCAAACTATTTGACGACCTGCTGTTTCGCCAAAATTAACTACTTGTGATTACATTATTTTATGTGTAAAAATTAGAAAAATGGAGCCAATTTTCTAAAAATCTTCGATCTTGGATCGCCTGAATTGAGTATAAGTTTGAGGTCACTCAATTGTGAGTGGGACAAAACCTAAGCTTGTCTTTAAATAATAAAAAACACCAAAGCGAGTGTGTATTATGACTTCGTGGTTCGTATTTCAAAATGTTGTGTGAACCAATAGAGTTGGTTTCTGAAATAATTTTACCAGTAAAATAAGGAGGGTATAGTTTATACTCGGTATTTAGGACATCCTAAAAACCCAAATCGTGATAAAAATTTACAAGGATATAATAACAATGGAAACAAATTACCTCACATGGTAAATTACCACGTTCCAAAATGTATAAGTGATGTACAGCAGTTTGACGCTGGTCAAACGGATGATTAGCAATACGAAATAAATTGAATGAGTGACCCCGTTTACACGCAGTGAACAAGAGACTTCCAGATGGATCAAACTTTAAGAGAGCAACACCAGCCCAACGATGAGCCTGAAATGAAAAGTAGTTCGGGACAAAAAAGGTTTTAGAAATTAGAGAAGAAGAAGAACATTTACATTGAGCGATCACTGAGTAATAACAAATGCTAAGTAAGTGTAGTTTATTATATATTTATTTTAACACAGATATTGGTACAAGGAGGCACCAAATACATATGCGCCACACAATCTTATTTGATATGTGTGAGGGCTGTGATACTGCCCGGGTGCTCAAACCGAACCATGTGGTTCTCTTAAGGGGCCACACCCGGAGCCTTCGACCTGAAGGTCTGATCCACAAGGCAGTGAAGTATTCTAAGGAGATGCAGTCCCATAGAAGCCAGTGACCAACAAATGGTTCATACTCCACTTATTCCTTCAAAATACTGGAGCCCATGTGCACCATTGGTTTGGAATCAGGGTTTTCCAACTCCCTAGGTGGACTCACCGTGTCCACCGGCCCAGTTAAAGTGCCGGACATTCGCTTTTCGTCCTCTCATTTTCGTAAACAACACCCGTGGTGCGAGAAGGCAGTGAGTAAGACTTCCCTGGCAAAGGCTATATACGTGTGGCCATGTGAGAGCATTTCAAGAGGGAGAGCGGACTCTCCCCATTCTCGGCCGTACCAGGGCATTTGGGGGCTGTTGCTGATTTAACTCTATCAGGAAGGTTCTAATCCTATAGGGAGAATCAATGCCCTCAAGAATACAAGTGGTTAGGGGCTTAAAACAAGGAAGTTTGTGTCAGTGAAACGAAACGAAATTTTCAAAACCTTCAGAAATGTGCAACTACATTTGTTAAAAATAGCAATAAGGTTTTAAAAAAATATCAGCAACTGGCGATACAGGGAGTTTATCGATATCCATGTCGGTGAAAATTTGAGTAGTGTCAAAACATTTAACAATGAAATAAAGTAACAGCTTCCTCATATGAAAATCCATTAATATAAATCACTAGCATGGTACAGATTCGTGCACTTGGCTTTAAACTACATTTGTATAATCTGACAGATAGTAATACTATTCAGCTCCACAAACCAAAGTGAAGCGGGGCTCGAACTCGCAGTCTTTACAACTGGAAAAGAAGTTATAGCAACTTGACTATTATAGCACAATGCTTCGAAACTACGAAACACATAAGATATATCTGTCTGTGCAAGTTAAATGATAGTCTGGCCCCCGAATGCTCTGGTACGCTCAAGAGTGGGGAGAGGCAGCTGTCCCTCTCGAAATGCTCTCACATAGTCACGCTTAAACAGCCACTGACAGGTAAGTCCTACTCACTGCCTTCTCGTGGCACTACTGTTGTTTACGAAATTGAGAGGACGAAAAGCGAATGTCCGGTACTTTAACCGGGTTGGTGGATATGGAGGACCCAACTAGGGGAGTTGGAAAACCCCGACTCCAAACTAGTGGTGCACAGGGTCTCCAGAATCCTGGGGGAACAATAGACATATGAACTTATTGTTGGTCACCGGTTACCATGAGACTGCATCTTCTAACGTTGCTCCACTGTCTTGTAGATTAGAACTCTAGGTCGAAGGATTAGGGAGTGGCCCCCTAACAAAACCACCTGTCTTGGTTTGGGCGCCCGAGATGCATCCAATTCCTCACACAAATGGAATGATTTATGTGGTATATATATATTTGGTGCCTCCTTGTACCAATGTTTGTGTGTTTAAGTAGGTAAATAAATAAATAATCGTCTAGTAAAGTTGCCAATGTCATACTAGCACGTAGACCGATTAATAATCCCTAAGATTTTGTATTTTATCAACCATCCGCTTTTATTTGGTGGACAGGTATGCGAATAAATAAGCATGTCGACAAAGTTCTATTATCTCACCCCAATCAAACTAGGAGTGAAATCATCCTGATAAAATAATTACTTTTACCTTGGAAAGTGCATAAGCAAGATTGTGGGATTTAAGATCCAACCCATTATACAAATCCCTAGTAAACAAAACACACAGTACTGAATAAAGAAGTTATTATTTTTAATAATATTAAAAACAGAAGATGAATTCTTGCAGAGGCTGGTGGTCACAGGAGAATTCAGTCCCAAACCTACTGTTATGTTCGTGATATTATGATATCAATTTGGACAGGCGAACGGGATAAAAACCAGCGACCCAATGACAGGACGGAGCTAAGCTATTTCTCTGCGCTCCAGCCCCACTAACTAGAGGAAGAAAACCAGATTCAGCCAGGGAAATATATAATTCCACACGCAGACCGGTAGAACGAATGACAAGCACATAACTCATGACTACTTTATACAATACAAAAATGTCCTTGAACACCATCATAAAATAGAGTACTAAAAGAGGAAAGGAACTAACGATGCTAAGGTCCTTCCAGACAGGAAACACAAGCTGAGGGTAATAATGGGCGCTTTTTGAGCGAAACATATTAGTCCAGAAGTAAGCGAATAACAACATATCTATAGTCTTAGACTTACTTCAGGAATGAACGCATTGCAAAAAATTCTGGGAATTACGTGAAAGAATACTTAAAACATATATCCTAAAGAATACAATAATCTACAATCAAAAACGTGAGATTTACTTGATAAACGTCTAATGAGAAATAATAAACAATGAGTGGGCCGTTATTTATACAGAATTATAAGCCCAGAATATGAAATGTTTCAGCACTGCCAAAGTGTTGGAATATTAGACTGAACAAATTTCAGAATCTTGGAATAGTTGTCATGGTAACGAACATACATAAGATAAGATCACATACCTTAAACATACTTTATGAAGATCATTTTCATGATTAAAACGACAAGCAGTGAATGTTCATTTTGTTCAATAACTAAAAGTAATATGTTAATTCCATGGAATTTTATTATCTGTAAAACTACCTTGAGCCTGAATATGTTGCCATCCTACTAAAATCATCTTCCAGGTAATCAATTCGTGTACTTGGATTTGAGTCACGTTTTTTGTGTAAAAGCTAGTAATACTGTAGTGAACGAACATTCAGGTGGGGAAGACCAATTTATTGCTTAATGCAAAACTACAGAGTGATTCAGTAAAATTTGAAAATCACAAATCAAATACATCATTTGCACATCACCTTTGAATTGTCTTTGATGAGCTTCATTGTTCCTACATTCCCGTTGTTATATTTATTGCTTTCACCCTTCTTTTCACCTCAACCTTCTTAACTTCCTGCTAGTAGACATTCCAATTTTGACTGGTGATACACACTATTTATATTTACAAACATATGTAGCGCATAAAACAATACCACCTAGTCATGTAAACCAAAGAAGGTGGAGCGGGCTTCGAACCTGCGACTAGTTAAAAGTGAAATGATACAATCAGCAAGCCATTGTTCCGTTTCTACTATTAACTAGAGGTGTAAATGAATGGCGATCATAGTGTTGATGTTTTTATTATGGAATTTTTTTAATATCAATAGCGTTATTTTCAAGAAATAGCCGCACGTAAACCGAATTCTTCATAAGTATTGGATTTAAATGATGAAATCACGGTAAATAAATTTCGGGTAGTATAAATAAAAAAATAGATCGTGACCCCTAAACCTATTTATGTGTCACTGAAAGGAGTCAGTGTGACTTTCAATCAAAATATTAGGTTCTGTGAAAGATATATGGCTTGATGATGAATAAAAATATAAGAAATGTGTAATAATGGCACTGTTGCAACTAGGAGGTCTACATATTAATTAAACTTCCAGTTCCTCAGTAATGATATTATCTTAATCTAGAAAAACACTTCTGTGACCTGTTGCCAAATAGTGGTCTAGTAGATGATTATACTAATCTGCATTGATAGAAATTATCACGCAGTTGCAATTATGGATAAAAAACGACTGTTAGTTTAGATGTATAATAATTATTGATAAGATATTCAACCACTATATCACCTAAACAAGCTTCTTGCTCTGATTCTCATAGTGGTAGTTTTATAACCAGGAATCTTCATACTAATATTTTTGATATAAACTGGTGAAATTAAGTTATATAATCAATTGAGACATGTGCAAAAACATGTTTACAAAAACACATACCATGAAATGAGCAACAATGGCTCCCGACCCACCAAATTCATGAACATTCAAGTATTTCACTCCTGACATTTTAATACTTGTGTGTTGATTATTTGGAGAGCATGACTGAGCTCTTTGATTAGTACTATTATATTGATTTGATGAGTCAGAGAGATTTGAACCAGCAGAACATAAACGAACTGATGCCGTAGCATCTTCAAGTTTTCGCAAAGTCGCATGTTCACAATTTAATGTATGCAAATCAATTATTGTTACGTAACCGGGTGATATGGATGAGTTATTCACCTCTGAAGTAATTAGACTAGATCCATGTTGTGGAAACGAATCTGATAAAGTTGTTTGTGGGACTTGATGTTGAGAATCAAGATGATTATTACGCAAATTTGGTGAATTCGGACCCAATGAACTAGAAACAACTGAAGTAGCCAGGGCCGAAATCCCTTCCCAAAGACGCTATAAGAATATGTAAGGTATCATACACATCCAAAAATTAATCAATGTTGAAATAAAAACAAACAAGAAAAATGCAAAACAGTCGTTATCATACAATTTCCACACGGGCCGATTACGACACAATCCTATACGTCTAAAGGAATCTACTACAGTTTGAACAATCACAATGTTAGAACTAGTTAGAGTTACCCATTACTTCTGGTCACTATATAAAACTGGCAACAGCTGAACCTAATAGATTACAAGAAACATAAGAACAATAATATAAAGCTTGGGAATAATGCTAATTACATGTGAAACTACTATAATACCAACAACTTTAATCGTAAAACACTCATTATAATTGGCTGGTATTTTAAAAGAACGTTATTAGCTTTATCACACTATAACAGACAATTATCAGATATATTTTTGCTCTAAACATATTCAAATGTTAGATTACGAAGGTTAACGCTATTGATACTAGACAAAATAAAAACATGTATGTCTTAAAAAATCATTTTCTAATGCATACCTAAATGCGCCTCAATAAGTCGATCGGCTTGTATTATTTTGTGTCATACCCAACTCAACAATAAGTTTGACATCAAATAAATGCTTTCTTTACTTTTGTAATTTTTAGAGTGCAATTGAGAATTTATTTATAAAAAAAAATTGATACACTTATTTGTGAAAGAATTGAAATGAATCTATCACAATAGAACAGATTCATCGATAAAACTATATGTGATATCAACAAACAGCATAAATTACTTTGTTTTTTTTAAATATCTAACGAACACAAACGATTAATCTAATTTTAACACAAGAAATATTTGATGAGATGCTTACACAGTTTGTTTATTTGATGCAATTACTGTCTAAAACAATGATAAATTTTTACGTAATTCGTATCATCTAGTATTTGTGATGTATGTTGAGTGTGTACGGTGTCTAATTTACAATAAGACATTTTTTACGTACAAATTTTGATCGATTTCCAAAACATTAATATTTCTTAAATAATAATCATAACAAAATACATAAACCTGAGAGAATAAACCTTACAATAATTTAGCGATCATCTAAATAGTTTCAAGTGGGATAAAATGAACATCCAATAAGATTCAATTTTCATGTACTACCCAGCACTGTTGATAATAAAATTGTAATATTTGCATAAAGAACTTCGTTCAGTCATCACGTGATTTGAAAGAGGGATAACACAAGTTAAACAGATAAAGTAATCAGCAGTATATAACAGTACTTCTAAACTGCTCATATTTTGCTTTCACGACGTCGTCTACTGATTAAAAGTACGGGTCTATGTACTTGACTTTCAGTCACATTACCATAGGCAAAATTGAAAATAATGAGTTCGATACGAAATGGTTTTGTAAAAATATATGCATTTTAGGTAATTTTTCATCTGTTTAGCCAATAGTGTGATAGGAAATAACATATTAAAATGGAAACAAAGTCGGAACGTTGCAGGCACATTTGTAGCTTAGCCTTCGCACTTAACAATTTTATTTCAGTAGCATTTTTGATGAATCACCAAAATATCTTGGTTATATGAATGTATTATTTTAAACAACAACCACAGAGTTAGAAATAATTTTTTCTCCGCATGCAAAAAGCACGTTAGTATTATAGTGTTACGGCATTTCAAGAGCACTTTTCAAATAACTTGATACCGATGATTACTTTAAAAGGGTCTTAATATAACTCCTGTTCAAAGCTAACCATAGACTATTTCATATATTACTACTGAACCAACTGAGATAAAAGAAAGCCAATTGGTTTAATATTAACCACAGTGATTCCTTCACTCCCTTAACATAGATTAAACACTGCATGTATCGTCGATTTATTTTTTCTGATGAATTTACCAGCCCCTCAAACTTTGAATATGGTGATAAGATATTTGAAAAATCCAAAAGTAAGAAATATTTAGACATACTAACAGATTATGATCAAATTAAAGAAGTTCCCTTACCTTATTCATACTCAATACTGTTGTAGTTAAAGGTTGTGACTCATCTGTACTCGCGTCGCCACATCGGGACAAATGTTGGTAGACAGGCTGAAGATCAATGCGTAACAAAAAATTACTGAAAGTTTGTAAGGCGTGAGTCTTAAGTATTTATCGAGAAACGGAGTGTTCTTTATATATTTACTGAAGGTAAGCTGAGTAATTTTGACAGGTTATATTCCACGACTTTATACTCCAATTAAAGAGTGAGAAAGAGAAAGAGCTATACAAGGAATGTAATGCATTAGGTGCTCAAAAGTCTAACTTTGGATTGAATACATACTTAAAACACAAATTCTATAAGTGCCTCTAGTGTTCCAGATGATGCACTTGATTCTTTAACAAGTGTCATACTTAACCTTGAAATTAGTCTATGGTAACGCTTCGGTTTGGTGTTTTGTAGCGTCATAATACTCGGAATTCCTTGCAGTAAATCTCTAAGTCTAAATGAGGTTAATTAATTATTTTCCATTGCAATTACGCTTTATATAACGCTACAGTTGTGACCAACGACTATAAAACACCCTTATTTTTTAATGGACTGGAGTTTTTGACAATAATGGTCATGTTGACAAGTATCTCCCTGTTAAGTCCAGTGCTTAGATTTTTATTAGACACCTGTTTTCGGTTAACGAACAAGCATTGCATAACCATCCTATCCCATGATTTACTAAATAAACAGTTCGTCAATGGGTCTACTTTATAGCCTGTTTGATCACTAAATTTTGTAAGTGACAGTTACATTATTTGTATTCATGATTATTACTTTGCCGCTAAATGTTCTTTTAATCAGTCATTTAATTGTAGTCGTTTGAAACGCTTTTATCACAATTATTATCAACAACCAACAGTTATACATAATAAGTTGTTCAAAAGTAATTCGTGGGTTAATAAGGAGACAGCCCTTTGCCTGTTTCTGTTTAAGTGAGTAAATACTGGCATGAACTTGAGACAGTATGTATGGCTTAGAATCAAAACACATATGTACATATAGAGGCCACGCAACAAGTCTTAAGTGCGTGATTTGGGTCTGCATAATGAATAATCAACATAATACTTCATAAGTTACGCTGTAAACATTACTTAGAACAAGGTTTTATTTATGTACTTTCTAACGAAAGTACAAATTAATCAGGTTTTGAGTATTCAAAATAATTGTTCCCACCTCAATAATAACTAGTGATGGTACACATATCAGTAGCTGTGAGCTCCACATATAGGAACAAGAATGATAACCATGATGCTAACTGCGATAGTGATATGCAATATACAGTTATTAGTTATTTTGTCTGTTACTGAATATTAGGCGATTTTCAAACGAAAAGCACCTACAACCTATAAAAATACGAGAGTTGCGACTTTCATATATATTCGTGTAAGTATTAAGTGACACTAAGATAGAGGCTGAACAGCCTGAACAGAGTACGCTAAGTGAATCAAGACAACATTTAACACTGATTAAAATGATTACTTCAGCTTTGTATCACATCAGAAGCTACAAGTCTAACGTTTAAGATTACAAGATGCGGAAAGTCGGTTGTCAGGCTATCTATACTACTACATAGCCCAACGCTAGTCAGCAAAAGATAATACTAACTCATTCCATATCTATTCCTCAACTTCCCCTAGCCTATTTCGAATTAAACTGATTTCATATGCCATGTAGCAGCTCCAACCGATGGACTCCAGTGGATTGTGTTTGGATTCTTATGCTTATATTGAATATCTAAATAATAATAATAATAATAATAATAACAATAATAATAATAATACAACTAGCCCATTTACTAAATACTTAAGAACGAGTCAAGCTGTGTGGGAACTAATGAAGTTACTCGGTTGGCCAAACCGAAGTGCGAGGAGCGGCTAAAAAAGCGGTGAGGCTATAATTTATGGACGAATCAATCACGTACAAGATAGCAGGTCGTGGATTTTGGCGCGAAATTTACTCATCCACTTGGATAAACAGAGTTTTGGCATTATAGCTGACGTCATTTTGTGATGAAAACCCGAAATCTAATTCCTAATCTTAATCATCAACTGTAAATTATAACTATAATTCCTCGCATAGGTTTATAACTCTCATCTAGTCCTAGTTATTAAGTAGACACTCTCAATGTCAGTCTAGCGTCGCTCAAAGGTCGTCCATTAACTATAGTCTCACCAGGTAAATATGTTAAAAAGGTGAACCAACCTTAGAATCTGCGAAGGCCAACCAACGAACCCCAAGCGAAGAAGGTACACTTTTCGGTAAGAGATCTGGCCAAAGTTTTGATTTTACACCTTAAAAAATGTTTGTTGGAAAAAATAACCTACATGCTATCGTATAGAGTTCTGTAAGAGTTAGTGCTGAGAATACCGTTATTGAATCAGTTCGTGTTACTACAACAAATCTAATAGATGATACACCGAATTAAGTGAACCTACCTGTCGTTTGCATCTACTGAGAGCGCTTTCGACTCTAAGTAATACGACAAAACTACTTTGCGATTGCACAAAGAAATAAACCGCACCTGCCAATGAGAAGATGCACAACTACACCAAAATGCAATGTCAAAACTAAGTTCTTACCTGAACGTATCACAGATAGCCATAAGAGGTCTGCTGGAAAACAAGGAATCATCAGTATCTTAAATACAAGACTAATTAAATTAAAAACACCTACGTGAAGGAGTAGGGAGCAGCTTAAGGTCTATTGTACATGTATTTCTCTCTGCATACAGTAGGGTGGCATTACCACCAAACTAAGATGTTAGTTTAAGGAAGAAAATTACCGAAATTCCCCATATGTATGATCCTTTACAAGTGACTAGAGATAAGACAGTAGAGTAGGCGTGGTTACATCCTAAGAATTTGGGAGACATATCAAACTTACTGCTTGCGTCACATTCCTCAAATTTCACGCTAAACACCTGTTCTGTGGAGCCACACGTACGATACTGATTCCTGGGCATATAATCACTTAGAGCACCCATAACACTGGTAACAAGATTCCTCTCACTAGACAAATAAGAACTAGTAGGACTTAAGTCTACCTGGACTTTTCTGGAGACACATGAACAAATGGCTGCATTATGTACATATAATGAAGTATCAGTAAGCCAAACAAACTACAGAAGCACAGTTACATATTCCGAAACACAAGAAAACCTTGACAGCCAAGTGACCTTGTGTACCAAAGCAAGTGACTCAAGGCCAACAAGTCCAATACATACATAACCTTGTAATATTTTATTGAACACCAGGTGGCGAACTAATTCATTACCGAATCCGAACTTATTCTACGTGCTTTCTTCTCCATTGTTGTTCTAATTCACACATTGTCTCAAACACTCTGGCCATCAAGCATTTACGGCACGCAACCTACCTTAAAACTAGACTCAAATCCACAAGTCATTGAAGGCTACATATGTTACATACAAAGTTACTTCTCTTGCTCGTTTCATGAGACGATCGAAACACACGGAAACATAAAAAGCAATGTTTGACTCTGAAAAATCATCCTTGACCAACAGTATTATCATATTTTCCCACATCCCGTCCAGTCACTGAACCTTTACCCTTTAGGGTACAAACGTCTTAGAGGTGACATCCTAATAGTTTACAGCATCCTTAAAACTTCTGGACATCCACTTAGACACACACTTGAGTTTAGCTCCAACACAAACCTAAGGGGTATACCCAGAAACTGAAGACGACACAGAGAAGAACAGACTGTAGAAACAACTTCTACTCCTTAAAATTAGTCAAATGCTGGAATCCTCTGTCAGCTGAGCTTGTCCAAGCGACCTCCTAGGAGTCCTTCAGGAGAAAACTTGACATATTCCTAAGGACCAAGGACAGTATCTTACTGTGATTTACCAATTTCTTTTTCCTGTTTTATCATTAATATACCTAGGTTCCTGCATGGATGCAATGGTGATACACTGCTACTAGATGGGGGAGCGAAAGCCTTTTCTATTCCGTTTAAAGTCGTCACATATAACCGCTCGTCTCATAAAGGGCAGTGATTTAGTCAATGTTGTGATTATTCTCGCTTATGTGTACTTTTCGCAGCAAAAAGCATGCTTGGTCTAATTTAACTCGAAGTATTTAGATAAGGGTTTGAAATTGCGCTAAACTTTGCCTTGTAGTAGCTCCTTTCTCATTAAATCCGACACTTGAAATTCATATTGTGATCAAATTGTGTTTTTAACCTTCTTAATCTAAGAGCAATGTTTGGCAGTACTTATAAATGTGGACAGCCAAACTGTTTACTCCCCGTGAAGGAAGAAATGTGATGTGGTGAGTGTGAAAAGTGGTTCCATGAAATGTGTACCCGTTTACATCCGACCGCATAAAAAAGATGCTCAAGGCCTACCTCTCAATGGCCTTGTGTTTCGCTATACGAATAAGACGTCACTGATCCAGGAGGCTATGAGCCTATTAGCTTCGGTCTGTAAAAAGAAAGATTAAGATTGCGCTGGTAACATGTATACTGACAGTGAAGAATATGTCAGTGTAGTACGTGCTGTTACGAGGCTTCTTAAACACCCGACTGTTGTTAAGGAACTATTAAGATTTTGGAGTCATACTAAGCAGAGACCTCAAAACTATGAGTAACTGTAAGGCTGTTGCTGTAAAAGGCTACAGTCTATTCGTAGGTCTTTTCAGTATTTGGATGAAGAAACGTTTAGAATATTATACCCGACATTCGTGAGACCTCATTTTGGATATGGGTCATTCTTGTTCAATCACCCTACCGACAGATGGACAACCATCCTTGATCGCAATGGGAAGGTTGACGTCATTTGTGCTGGAAGGGTCCCCCAGGGTTCAGTACTAAAACTTCTCCTTCTCTTGATTCATATAAACAATCTTCCACAACAGGTATCGTCTGATTTATTGCTTTTTCAGATGAATTGAAACAGTGGAGAGAGATACGCAACCAAGACGATATACAAGCACTCTTCAGGAGGATCTGACCCGAATCCAAAGTTGAGCAGACGACAACGGACTTACCTTTAACACTTCGAAGTGTGAATCAATACAATTGCGACGTGTCGCAGACTGCAGTTAGAACTTAAGAGACTCTTCTCCAGAAGTATCGCGAGTTGAAAAAGATTTATGAGTATTTGGTACGCTACTATTTGATGACTCACGCCAACTGTTTCAAAAATTCATTTCGAGCAAATTTTGCACTGGTAACATTGAGGCGCATTTTTGGCCAGTTTGACGGTAGAAGTTTCTACATAATCCTCAATATTTTTATTCGCCCAATGTAGAATAATGGAACATAGTATTTCCCTCCTCATTCCAAAAGGATAAGGACACTCTGGAGCACATCCGATGGCGAGCCATGAAAACAGTTCGGGGACTCAAATTCAAGTCTTATGAAGAAGGCCTTCACCCATTAAACATTTACCTATCATACTATAGGCGTCTTAGAATTGATCCACTGCTGCTAGATGCGGAAGCCCGTTAAGCGGTTTCTTCTATCCCGCCCACAACCAATTGAACAATTTGAAGTAGCGAGTCCTTGTTTCAAGTATGGAACGATGCCAACTGCGAGAGACTAAGACGGTTAAAGGTCTGTCTAGCTTATCTTATGAGGACAGACTGAGACACCTCAACTTATTTCTGTTATCTTATCGTATGATACGGTGTGATCTAATGTTGCCTTATCGTGTACTGGACCATGACCTTGGTATGAATATGTCTTATCTTTACCTTCTGTCTAGGACTGATCATTTGAGAGGACATCCGAAGGAAAATCGAAAACTTAGGTCAAATCTTTCACACCTGGAGTTTCGTTTCTCTCACCGAGTAGTGAATTACTGGAACTCCTACCAAAACATGTAATATCAGCACCTTATGTTGATATATTCAAAACGACATTAAACTTCTACAGTGTTAAAAACTGCAAGGTTTGGTTTAGACCCTTTTCCTTGTTACTGAAGACTAAGGAATTAAGTAATCTGTCAAAGATTTATGCGGGCCAATTGGAGGTGACGGTACTTAATATTACAGGGGTTCTTCCGTCGTATCTACTTATATTCGATGGACTTTAATTTTTCGCACAGTAAGCGTTTGGAACTTACATCCATAAATTTTTTAAAAAGGCTTCTACTACGTGTGAAATTTTGAGTGTATTCTTCCACAGGTTTCTCACATGATAGTTAAAATGTAAAAATTGACTGCGTTGTTGATAATAAAGACTTACGTTTGTCCATAGATAGATTGGTTTTCAACGTATCGAAAGTGAATCCGATTTTAGTTTTACTTGATATGGGGTGAATATACTTCCATACATCAACGGGTGTGTCTTGCTACTGCATTTGATAGATTTATTTGAACACAAATATTAATACAAATGGGCACTTGATACTGGATACATATACGGGACACATGTCAAATGATGTGTGTGTGGGCTATGATACTACCCGAGTGCTCAAATCTAAGCAGGCATTTGATATGTGATACGAAGTACCCAAGAAACAGTGAAGCAAATTAAGATGAAATGCGCCAAAATGTTTACTTTGCCACCTGCAGTAGGGGGACAGTATGAATTCTCTTTAATTTATTCTTGGACGAGAAACGTTTCAGAATTTGCAGCAAATAGTTTACATTCCTGCTAAACAAGTACTCGCAAGACCATCTACTGCTAGCCCTTGTTCCTTCAAGGAGACAGACTTTTCTACACAGTCGATCGGACTTAGAGATATGGTATGTGTTTTAAAAGACGTATATTTACAAATGTCGTAATCACAATCCACAAGATGCAGATCTATAAATATCACCTTTAGAAAACAATACATCTTATGAATAACTGATTAGCACATAAATATGCCTACGTTACTACAAGGGAATGTTTCAGTGAGAAATCATTGGGGTCATAGGAAGACCTAGACCCGGCGCTTTCACCGGGTTGGTCGATATGGAGCATTCAACTGGTGGAGTTGGAAAACCTTAATTCCAAACCAGTGGTGCACATAGGCCTCAGGATCCTGAGGGGATAAATGGCGTATGGACCAATTATCGGTCACCGACCACCATGGGACTGCATCTCATGACGTCGCTCCACTGCCTTGTGGATCTGACATTTAGGCCGAAAATTTCGAGTGTGGCCCCCTAAGAAAACCACCTGCTTCCGTCTGGGCACCCGGCTAGTATCACATCCCATACACAAATCAAGTGACTTGTGTTGAGCATATGTATACGGTGCCCCTTGTACCAATATTTATGTGTTCAAATAAATAAATAAATAAAAACAGCGTTACGCAGGGATTTTTTTGTAACAGGCTGCAAGTTAGAGATATCATGCCTACGAAACAAACCACGGTCAACCATGATTCTAAGAAACATGTTATTATGTGCATAGCAATCAAGCTGACAGCACAGTAATAGTGCAAGGCAAGCCTGGACTGATTGCTGATATAGGCAATAACAGATTATTCAAGTCTAGGTCTTCCTGTGACCCCAATGATTTCTCACTGAAACATTCCCTTGTAGTAACGTAGGCATATTTATGTGCTAATCAGTTATTCATAAGATGTATTGTTTTCTAAAGGTGATATTTATAGATCTGCATCTTGTGGATTGTGATTACGACATTTGTAAATATACGTCTTTTAAAACACATACCATATCTCTAAGTCCGATCGACTGTGTAGAAAAGTCTGTCTCCTTGAAGGAACAAGGGCTAGCAGTAGATGGTCTTGCGAGTACTTGTTTAGCAGGAATGTAAACTATTTGCTGCAAATTCTGAAACGTTTCTCGTCCAAGAATAAATTAAAGAGAATTCATACTGTCCCCCTACTGCAGGTGGCAAAGTAAACATTTTGGCGCATTTCATCTTAATTTGCACCAAATTTATATCAAGAATATCGCCTCAGTTTAATTTTTTCCGTTTAGTTTGGGATAGGTTTACGGGCGAAATGGGGTTTTTACAGAACAAAAATAAAAAATGAACATTTAAATATACTATGCAATTTCGAAAGTCAATTTTGTTAGTCAGTCTCACTGTTACCAATTGATACGTTTACTGTCATATCATGATGTAAGATCAAATACGAGAAACCGAAATTCGCTTAGCTGTGCTTGACATTTTATTAGCTTTCATTTTTAAATATTGACCAGGTCCTCTTCTGATCGAGTGTGGTTATTATATTTTTTACGTAACCTCTGTCGTTCTTATTCCTCAGGAATAAGAATAAAAACCTGTTATTTTCGTAATTAACTACTAATCTCTCGGTGCTGTCGAATTTTAGTTTCCTGAAAGCATATTTTTGATCGTAAATATTGCCATCTTGAGATTTCGAACATTTTAATATATCCTCTTCAGTTCCCCTCTTGATTCACAATAAGAAGAGGGTAAAAAGTTCTGAGGTTTTTTCATTCGATAATACTACGATGTCTCTCTATCACTTTAGTTTCCACCTTTTCAACCTCATATTAAACAAAGGTTCAGTGTCTTAACTTTCATACTTTTAATAATTTTTAATATACGTCTATCATAAAAGCGGGAATATTCTTGTCAAAACCTGAGTAAAAATAGCGAAACATTACTTTTAGATATTTCCACCTTTAAACACTCTTTGTAAAGACATTTCCATATACACTACATCTTCTGCAAATAGCCCGTTTAATCGATTACTTAATCTTATTTCAAGGCTTTTTAGTGTTTTTCTAAGTCTTTGTCACTAGACGCTATCAACAGCTTCACTGAAATCTGTAAATGAAGCATCAAGAAGTTCAATCCCATCTTTTATTGGAACCCAGTTTTATCTTGAAGTGAAGCGCGTCACTCTGCTCCATGATAAAAAGCAGTTGGTTTCACGTGACACAAGACAATATCGCCGATTGTATTTCTTCTCACTTCGATAACTATACTGATCTGACCGAATGGATGATATTTATTCTTCTGTTATCTATACTCGGTTTTATAATCTTGCTCTGTAAAGCCATTTAGTATTGATTCGAACCATGTAAATTTACGAATCTCTCTCATTTACTATCATAAACTGTTGCATCTATCAGAAGGGATTGTATTTTCACCTTTATAACGCTCACTTTCAATACACAATACGAAAATACTGACGTTGTGGTGAACGAGATGTGTGAGTGCGGTTATTGAGCATCTAAAATTTTACGTTAACAATATTTCCCAATATTATCAACCCAGCCGATGACTATTTGTCGATTGAGAAGAATATGTCTTATGCATAACACCACTCTTTATATACAGATTGCATTTCTCGTCAGTAATAATGACATCTAAATAAATTTAACTTCAGACGAATTTTACAATGAATGCATGTGAAAAGTAAATGAAATAATCTCCCAAATATAACAGAATATCATACTAAAATAATCAATAACAGATTTTACCGAAACCTAGTTGAATATTAACTGAGCGATTTTCACATTGAACTAATCAACATCTTTACTCTTGATCGCCTCTTATCGTAAACAACCGAGGATCTGGTTAAATTGGCTGTCGCCTCGCAATGTAATAACAGCGAGAAGAAATCAAGATTCATAGCAGAGACGTGGATGTAATAGTAGTGTCTATGGTTTTAATGAAGCTAACTTAAAAATATGATTCAGAAATGGAGAATCAGAAGTATGAGTGTTGAATCGCAAGACAAATTTTTGGCCTTTCCACTGAACGTCTTCAATTACTGGTCACGATAATCGTGAGGACACCAACACAACAACCTGTTTAGACCAATGGTCATTGACTTTATAGACTAACGATGCTCCTTGGTTTGACCATACATAGCTTTCTACCAACCTACTCTTACATCAGCCATCATTGGTCACCATGGTAGGCGGTGAACGGGCATGTTATGCAATAGGCGTCTCAAATACTTCGCCCGATGAATATTCACTACCCATCTTTAACTAGTATTCTGCATCTCTTCTCAGCATTGCTCATCTGGTGTTCCTAACTTACCCAACGAATTCTTCAAAGGTACCTATAATCAGATACTGCGTACCTACGGATATCCTCTGTTTAAAGACCGTGTTTTGCAACCATAAAATGGGACAGAATGAACTACAACTAGCTATGCTCGTCCTTTGGTTGACAGAGAGACGTGTTGCCCACACCACGGGTGACGTAAGTTAGCAAAATCCAACCGAACTTTCCGAATCTTTGCCGTGATTTCATCAGATCTTTTAGGTGGAACCGTCAGGGTAAGTGAAGTGGTGGACCCATCCAGGTACTTCACTCCCCATCATTATTTCAGGGGTTGACACAAATAAGTCCTAATCCAACATTTTGTGTCTAGAAGGAGATAAGTACATCCCAAACATGTTTTCATTATTACTTAATATATTCAAAAGACTGCCTTTTGTCCGAGTCCTTACTAGACAGAAATACGTCATCCATGTACTTTAAGTTAACGAGTGAGTTTTCTGGCAAGGGGTCAATTCTTGGAAAGCTAGTTGATAAGACAATGAATCTGTCAGTCTTCTATTTTTAAATCCATTCTCTTGTAGACGGTCACCCTAGTTTGCTCCATATCATTCTGATTGGATGTGTCTACTTTTTTACTTTCAAACTATTATAATACATGTGAAACAGAAACCTGACGTAATATTATTCACTTTTCTTGATGTATTTGTCACCAGCTTTTTATCACTTTTATAACTGGAAAGGTTTCTCTTTCTTTTCTGGTAATCGATTCTGAAAATGAAGATCTGTGTGACTTTAAGAACGTTTTTTTAATTTTTAGCTTCAGCATATTTGGTGAGTGCAGAATACTGAATAAAATGAGTTTAGAAAGAAGTTCTCGAGAAGTTGTATACATTAAAGCCAAAGTAAGATCAACACTTTTTCATAGCTCAAATCTTCTAGCTTAGCACAGAAACTGGTACTGACCAATATAAGAAATTCGCAATTGATCCAAATATTACAGATTACAAAGTTCTTTTGGGTTTGCTGCGTAAATGCTTTGATATTAACTGGTAAACTATTTGTCTATTAGCAGACTTTTAAAAAATGGTTATTTAGTGGTATCTTATAATGGGAAAGATCTCATGAATAAACAAAGCAGATGATCAAAATTTTTGCCATAATCTTCCCGTTTTGTGATTGTGTTGTATCTAGCATCGACAGAATTAAGTTGATTTGGGGAGTAAATAAGTGTGTGTCTAGAAGGAGGATTAATAACAAGAAGGACTTCATATGGTGTAGATACATATCGGCTGAATTAATATAATATTTATCGCACACGTTTGGTCATGATTTCTAGGCGTCGTATTGACTTAATTATATTTGGAGTTGAACAGTCCTCAGACTAATAAATGACATATCCATAGTTTTTACCACAGGCCATATTAAATAATTGCTAGGTAGAGTGCACAAAATAACGGTAATTAGTGGTAAGAGACATTCATCCACAAGTCCTTTCATATTTGTATTCAATGCTCAAAAATCTTATCCCTGCTAGTATATGCTCATTTTATTTACAATATTTGGAATGTACTTCGAACATTTGTGTGGTTGATTCTAATGTCTTCTCGACTGAAAATACTTTATTGGCCTGTCAAAATGGTGTACAATATGGTGGTTTTGAAAGGAACTATTTCTTAATAAGGTATGAAACAAGTTCACAATTGTATTGAAAATATTAGATAGCAAACATAAATACAGATGCTGAAGTTATTTTTGATGTAAATAACTAAACATTTTTAAGATAGTAGAAAATTAAATGCTAAATTGCCCTTCAATACTTACGGTATTCACGCTGTACTTTTCAGCGCAACAACTAGAAATACTTTCCAACTAACTTTACGTTTCATATTGCTATACTACTGTGAAATGCTTTTCGGAAGAAATTTGTCCTAGAAGCGAGTCTTCATCATTTACCTCAGTTTCATCATCTCAATTTGTGAAACCACGACAGTCATGATATGACTTCCTCATTTGACATGGGTTAGTTTATAAATGACGAGATCTATCATTACCCTATGCATCCTGATTCTTTAAAGTCAAGTGACTTAATATTTTTAATTCTACTTGTTAAACACAGTATACATCCTGTAAAGGAATCCTTACATTGTATCTGGTGAATATTCCTAATTATTCATATCTGTTGAAGTGATTCACACACTTAACAAAGTACCTAAAAGAAACTATATTATTTGTTGGTTTAATTTTAGTGACTTCTCGGTGTGTTACTTGGCTATTGATGAATTCGGTGAACAGTTTTATTTACCTTTACAGTCCGACTGGGATCTGGATGCGTCGATAGTCACGTCATCTGATTCCACTTTACGACTTAAAATAACCCTAAAGCCTAAAGTTTCTGGTATGTTTTTTAAATGTTTTGTTTTTTCAATAGCTTTGCTTAGTGAATGATTTGAATACAGTAAAGTAGGATAATGTAAAGCTTCTGGGAAAAGTTTCTTAGTGATTGGACCACTTGAATTCTGACATTTGTCACGTAAAGAGATATCTTCTCGTACTAAGAATGATCTCACACTTATTGTGTAGATTCTACATCTCATCCTATCTACACAACAGTAGGTAGAACAGGTTTTGAATCTTCCTTCAGTTGGTTAAAATATCTTCACAAACTCTGTGATCTACAGTCCCATTCGGATTGTAGAAACCGACGGCAAGTGCATTCCTATCAAGTACATTGTATTATTCACTCCAGGTCTATACTGTATCTATTGTTTTCTAAATGCTTTGCTCATAACAGTTTTTTTGAAAAAATTACTAGAACAATTTGGTTATAATTCATTTTAAGTTAGAGTCGAACGGATTAACTCATATTATACATTAATTGTCATTTCGACCATTCTTTTGATTAATACTCTTACAATCCGATCCCATTGTTAATTTGTCGTTTCTAATCCAGATTTTCAGTAAAATTACTATCTTTCATTTTATAGTTCTGACTTCTTTCAGAACTGTTAACATGGTACATATAGTTTCAAGCGGAACTTGAAGTTTCCATTTTCAACTTTCCCAATAATATTTCTATTCTCATCATGTTCAATATTTAAATACTGTTCAGTGTTAAAAGTCTATTTTGTTCGAATTACCGGTATTTCAGTCAGTCAGTCAGTCAGTCAGCTACAATGTAGGACCAGGTACATATGTGCATCGGTCCAGGTTGCCATACCACATCAGCACAACAAGATGAACACCGGATTCATAGCAGTGGTTAGGTCAAAGGTGGTAATATATAAGAGAAAGATTGCATATAGAAATATAGTACAAGAAGAAAGAACTGGTTCGTAGAAAGAAAGATATGAAGTGATTTTAATCTCTTAGTTTAAGGGAAGACGGGGAGTGTATACACCGACGCCATTGTGATCGATTCTGAGGCATGTCACCAAGAGTCTCCAACCATTGGTTACGAAAGTCACGCGGACCCCAACCAAGTAGTCTGCATCTACCAACATGGCTCAGACTAGAAGTTAGTGACTTCAGGCACTGATGCCACGTTTTGGTTTGGCCGCCCCTAACTTTCTTCCAACCATCCCCTACACCGGTTAGCATTGCACGTCGTGGTAATCGGTGTCCAGGCATACGTAATACGTGGCCCAACCATCTCAGTCGATGAAGATTCATAACCTCATCAACTGATTTACCATCATTTCCTAATACCCTGCGTCTAACCTCACTATTACTTACCCGGTGATCCCAGCAATATTTCTAAGGCATCTGTGGTCAAATACTAATAGCTTACGAGTGTCTTTACTCTTAATGGCCATGTTTCGCTGCCGTAAAGTAAAACAGAACGGACTGCCGCGCAGTATACTCGTCCTTTTATTGATAGACGGATATCTCGCCTTCGCCATAGGTGACGTAAGTTGGCAAAAGCCAAACGAGCCTTCCGAATCCGTGCTGAGATTTCGTCAGACACCAACCCATTAGGGCTGATCAGACTTCCAAGATAAGTGAAGTTGTCAACGCGTTCGACTACTTCACTCCCTATCCTTAGTTCAGGTGTTGACGCAGACCAGTCCTGAAGTAACAACTTGCATTTAGAGGGGGAGAAGCGCATTCCAAACATTCTGGCATTGTTGCTTAGTGCTACCAAAAGACTCTGCATTTTGTCAGCGTCTTCACCAAACAGGACTATGTCATCTGCGTATTCTAAGTCGATAAGTGGACCTCCTGGTAGGTCGAAAACGAAAATAAGTGTTCTTATTCACATTTTAGAGGTTAATCACGTGTTTTACTTTTGAATAGTTCACTTCATTCTATACATCATCTCTCTCTATTCCAAATTAGATCTTCAAGACTGGGATATTATTATTCCAAGTAGTGTTCAGTCTATCTCCAGAAGAAGAAAGTCACAAAATGATACAAAAATGATCTAACATTCAGTGATTCTAAAGGACTATCACTTTTTTCACAAATTACTCAACGACTTGAAAAAACTGTTGCAAATATGCGCAAGGCTATAGGTAAGACTTTATTTACCCGTTTATACTGTTCTTTTATCAGGTAAAAAAATAAGCTTAACTATATGATACAAAATTTCTGCAGCCTAAAGTTTCAATGTTCAGTACTTCTTGTAATTTAAATTGATGAGGATGTGTTACTAGCAAAGGAAAGTCTCCCATAGGAACGTGTTAGGTAGTAACTCAAGCTGAAGATAAACTTAGTCTTGATTTAAACTTGTTTTATTTCAGTACGTTGTTGTAAGCCAAGTTTTAAATCAATACATGATAACTTAGAAAAAGTCGTACTGAAAAGTGATGTAATTCCAAAAATTGCCAGCAGTCAAGGGGTTCTGTACTTTTGCTTCATTTATGATGTACATTGTAATTTGAGACATTAATCTCGATCCAATTTTCCGTTTGTCCCGAAAAAATAGCATAGTTATTCCCAAATAGCGTCTTTCAAACAGAGTCGTGATTCAGTGAGTTATTCATTCGACTTCCCATCAATGAATTATGGCTTTAAATTTCGATCCCACTTTTAGTAATGTAGGTAATCGGATGGTATCGTTGACCTCACAAATTAATTGTACATTAGAGCCTTGTACGTAAATTAACAACTTTACTTTTCTACACTGTTATTACTGTTTCAGGAATTGGAATGGATGGTGATGATATGTTTCACACTATCCATCCTCCGATATCAGAATTACAAATGAGATTATACATGGATGATAATGGACGCATTATATATCTAAATCAATTTTAGTAAGTACTGCATATTTCATCCAGTTTTGATGTATTGTTAGTTTATTAAACTGAATTGGGTTTAAATACAGCAGTTTTATATTTTCCTAAGAAATAAACCTTAGTTTAACAAATGTTAGTGGACACTTTTCAATAACTTGTTCAAAAGATTAGTAAAAACCCTTCCAACATATTACGGAACCAATTATCCCTACATTTCAGGGAAAAAGTGTAATTTATTTATGTGTTATTTCTTGAGTGTTATACGATATAATTCTGAAAAACTAATTTCACTATAATATAAATTGTTTACTGAATAAGGAATTATTTACTTCATTCTAATCCACGCGATTTATGTACAAGTGATGTGCTTGATTGCTATTACGAGTTCACTTTACTCGGTAATCGGAACGAAGGTCAAAGATACAGTGACACGATAGGCTATTCTAATCCATTGTCCTCGGCCCTGCTAACTAAATCAAGAGGTCTTGATGAGGCGTAGAGAATGTATTCTACAAGCACCCAGAAAATACGAGGTCACTAAGCACACAAATCAAGCTTATTTATACAATGATAGATACGCCCTTGGGAGAGCCACAAAATAGCGTACTAAAAAATTCCATCAACCAATGGCAGTTAAGGATTTCCGAGTGGGAATTATAAGCTGTAGGTCACCTAAGCGTCTCTTGGCGCGAAAACATAAATTTCAAATTTTCAGAATAAAATTACAAAATTAGGACCTTTTTCAATTAAGTTCTGGGGATCTAACGTCTTCAACACTAAGGTATAGCGGCTAGGTTTCCCAAACTGAATTAGGTGGAGCAGATTTCTAACTGGCAACTTACTTGTTAGAAGTCAGATTGCTTTGACTCATTTCAGCATAGAGTGTTAACAATCTTAATTTCAATCAAAAAACTCTGTCAGTGAAGCACTTAACTGATTTTTAACGATTCTATTAAATAATAGAGACTATATTGTTTCACTTAAGATTTAATGTCCTGTACAAAAATTTGACAACTCATTTCTACATTTTGTTGTAATTTTTAAATTCAGCTTCTCCGGTTGTTAGGGTTGATTTACTCTTCAAAGTAAATAAAACTCAACATTTATATCGTTGAGGTGTTTTGTGGATATGTGGCTCAATATTCTGTTTCCAGCTTCTGATTCACAAGTTTAAAGCCTATGTTTATTTTGAATTTTAGGTTGTATTTTTAAGGTTGCTTTACTCAACCTTCTTAGCGTTTCTGGACATCATTAGCACAAAATTGAAAAAAAGACGGTCTCATAGAGATTTCTGGAATGTAGTTACTAGTCCAGTCTGTTGATTTGATATATAACTGGGTGTTATTTTCATCTCTAATCGTGTGGTTATTGCTATTCTACACATGTTTTAAAGAGCTTTACCTTGACTTTGTTATTTTTTTATTAACTTTCTTATTAACTACTACCGCAATAATATTCGTGATTCTACAGCTCAATTGAATAGTTCAAAATGTTCTGACCAGAAAAATCAATACTCTACCTTTTGATGCATTGTATTTCTGTGATACCTTGCATCAACTCTTTAATTATGATTGTTAGTCCTGTCCAATAAAATAAAATTGTTAAGTACAGAGTTTATAAAACGCCTACACATTCTCCGATTATAGTATGCTAAATAAATTATTTTTTTGTCAGCCTAGATGTTTATCTAAATGGTCTAGAGCACAGTTTACGTAAAGTTGGTTGGCGTATATTATTATCAGTTTGTCCAGCGGACACAACCGGTCAAGAACGTTTTCATTTACTGGATATCAAAGCGCAACAGTATGCTACTCTTAAGGAAAATTGGAAAAAGTTATACGTAATGGGTTTGATGTCTGAACATCAACTATCTACATTAGCTTCAATAAGCATAGATGTTGTTCGTACAGATTGGAGTAAGCTTTTTTCCCGTAAATATTTTTCCAGGATTCTTACTTGGTGATTAAATTTCTTTATTCAACTTTTAACTTGTCGTTACAGTAGTTTTATTCCAGAAATTATTAAGAGAACTTATTTCTACCAGTTGACGAGTGTGATTATCTCGCTAAGAACCGTTTGCTGTTCCCGTAGACATTCTGATATTATCTGAAGATTTTCATTATAATTTATTCTATATGAGTAAATTTAGTTTAATTAAGTTTTAAAAAAACAATGCGGAAAAATATGACAAATTAAAATTAAACCTTCCTAAAATTGTAGCAAGCCGAAATAATTTGTACTACTGAAAAGAATCTGTAATTGTATTTAGCTAAAGTAGTAGTTATTTTTGGAAAAATAAATTTCCGTACTTTTTGTCTTATATTACAAATTTGTAAGTTCATGAGTTCTTTCTAATATATTCAATACTTACTTCGGCTCAACTGAAGATTGACACGTTCGCAAAAAATTCCTGAATATTCTCACTGGTGAAGAATTATAAATTTAGTGAGCAATCTAACTTCGTTACCTACAATTTTGAACCTATTTGCTGCTAATACTATTATATTAATGATTCTGAGGTGTGTGGCTATTGTTCTAAAGTATACAGGTGTTAATGACAAAATTACGTATATTAGGTTTTAAAATCGCTGTGTATCAGGCTCCCTGCTCAGTATACCTATGATTCACCAGTCAGTAGTGGTTATTTTACTTCCTTTCTTTTTGCATGCAGCTCATGAAGTGTAAAGTTGGGAGTGAGGTATATACCCCTAAATGAATTATCATGCTAAAGATTGAGAGTTATTATCTTTAAAAATGGGGATTTTATCAATTTTTTTAATTTTGAAGTTAGTTTTTATTACTGGGGAGCTAGTGCATCCTAACCTGGGACTTATCAGTTCGCATTGAGACACATACAATCCCACAAAGTACAGGATCCTGGGCTTTCAAATAAAATTAGTTCTAATTATTTTCTAAATATTACATTGTACACACGGATTAAGCATCCAGTACTTCATGAATGGTTAGTGCATCTTATATTTAGTTCAAGAATAGTCCAGTTCAGTGATAAATAAATACTTGAAGGAAGTTTGTAGTTAGTTATTTAGTTATCCTGTCTTATCCTCTCAACCTCCATCTCTTACCTACTCTTGTGTCAAATAGTTGTGTAAGCTTAAAGTATGTTATGACTACGATAAACGTTTATAGATTGCTAGATGGTTGAATGCAATCTGTAAGAAGCTCTAAACTTAGGTTTGATACTAGTTGGTAGTCGTTTGGAATTTTTTATCTACACACTTGAGAGGTCTGATGCTGTTCATAGAACTTGAGTTCACATAACTGATTGTCGTAGTCAGTGGGCTATTTGAATCTTGACTCACGAAGTACTGGACTTTCAACAATAATTAATCAGATAGTAACAGCTGATTTCTGACAAGTGTTATCCAACAACAGACCGTGATCACTGGACTACTTCTAGTCATCTGACATTAATTAACTCTTAGTGTGGTGTCGCGTCACCCAAACGAACATATATACCGCAGTTTAATTGACTGAGTTCAACCATTACTGAGGGTTATAAAATGTGATATTTGGCTATTAATAAGCATTCAGTTAATGTTTTCTGAGAGTAATGTACGTGTGACCATCCGTTAAATCTTATAAATATTACCTAAATGATTGTCACAAAATGTTTAATTGTCTTCATTATTTGTTGTTTTTGTTATCTTCCTACGTTTCTTGATCGGTACTTTCTTTCATTCTGCACCTATTGTAGAAGAAGACTATTATCGTTCTGTTGGTAACCATCATCGAGTGTGTCAATTGTTTGATATTCTAGCTACTTATTGTATACATCACCCAAATATTGGATATTGTCAAGGTTAGCTGATCAGCTAGTTCTTTTAATTAACATATTATTAACATTCACTAGTAATATCAGTATTATTATCGCTATCGACTGAATACGTTTATTGGGAATCATAGGTTACCGGATATTTGTTTGGTTTTTTGTGGGACGCCCCGAATGTATATACTCATAAAATGCGAATGAACATCCACTGGGTTAAATGTTCAAACACTGCCTTATCTACTTTGATTCTAGTTACTGAATAGTTTATCTGTCATTTTCACAAAAGTCACAAGATCGTGTACGTTGTGCGCTTGGTCACAATATGCACAACTTCCTGTTAAATAACCAGCAGTAGTCAGCCCACACAATTGTTAATTATCCTGTTTGATAATACTTTTATTATCTCCTAGTTGATAATTACCCCGATAGCTTCAATATATAATTTTGGGAATACTTATCAAAACCATCCAGATATCTCAAAACTTGACAAATTTTGACTAGTTTTACTTTATCTAAATTGAAATTATTCAAGTATTATATAAAGATATGAAACCTAACAAAATTGCGTGATGTAGTGATATGCAGAGCCAATCAGAAGTAGTATTTATGCACTTTATTCGGTAGTGCAGTACACTTTCTCGCTCACTTTTGTGTTTTCGCTTAAGTAGTCTTTTTTTTTAGAAAAAAATGATTGTATTCCACTACTATCTACTTGTTTTTGAGTACCTTTGTAAATGAAACTGATCACTGAACGATATTAGTCTGTGTTTATTTATTTATAATGACTAGCTACATATGTTATTGCTGGAAAAATTCCCCTTTTAAATCAATGTAGGTTTTTCCTCGTTAGCTGTTAATCACAAATGTTTTCTTATTTTTGTAGGTATGTCAGATTTGGCCAGCCCATTATTAGTTGTTCAAAGTGATGAAGCATTGGCATATCTCTCGTTTTGCGCTCTAATGCAACGTGTTAAATTCAAATTTGGTGATACGCAGCAATCTATATTAATTAACAATATGCAAGATTTACACGATCTTCTAACGTATACAGATGGTGAATTAGCACAATTTTTCCGTGAACATAATTTAGCCAACATGTATTTTACTCAACGTTGGTTTGTCTTAGAATTAAAACGTGAATTTAACTTTGATGAATCTTTACGTATGTTTGAATCACAATGGGCTGCTTTATGTCTTGTAAAAAATAATAGTTTAACTGAAATTGAAACCTGCAATTCTAAATCTGAAGGTTATCTTGTTTTAACTGATGGTACAAGTAATTTGTGCATGCCGAATTCTTCATTCACGTCAACGAATTCTCTTAACTGGTATCATTACACAGCAAGAGATGTTAGTCTGATCAATTCTTTAATAGGTTCAAATTATGTTGTCGACTTGAAAAAAAAGGATGCACCACTGTGTTTAACCCAGGCATGGTTAGACAAAACCATCCATCTTCTGCTTCTTCCCCTCCTCAATTTATCCCTTCTGATGCCCACTTCTCATGTAAATTATCTAAGGAAGATGATCATTCTGGAAATCCACAACAAACCTCATCTGAGACGTTAATTACAGAAACTCAATTTGAAATTATCTCTAATGAATCACTATTGGATTTTACAAACTCTGTAAAAAAACAGTCTTTACATTTGACACCAACTAAACGACTATCTTCATTTTCTATTGAAAATGAACCTATTCATATTAGAACCAATGTAACACATTTACGACCACCGAATCAATTCGGTCAAGGTAATCCATTTCTCCTGTTTCTCAGTTTATCATTAATCTTAGAATATAAAGAGGTAATTATGCTAGAAATTAAAGAACCTGGGGATATTATACAATTCTATCAACAACAATCTGGTAAACATAATTCTTCTAGAATATTATATCGTGCGAAAAAGTTATTTAATAAATACTTAGAAGAAAATAATTTCCAATTTTTTAGTTAAACTTTATATACTAATAACTGTACAGTCGTAGAAAAAAAATCCAGCTAATACAAACTCACTCAACCATACATGACATTACTGTATTCTCATTTTGTATCATTATTTTGTTTTCTCTTAATTATTTGTTTTTTTTTTTAATATTAACTTTGTATTGCTATTATTACTACTTTTGTTAATTAACCAACATTACAGATCATACAGTACAAAAACAACCTATTTTCACTGTGATAATCAACATATCTATTTCTCTTTCAGATTTTGAAATAAAAGTATTTTCGTATTTTTGTTGTGTATTATCTTGCTTTCCGTATTGAAAACTGGTGTTAACAAAAATGTGTATTTAAATGATGATGTTAATGAAATTTCGAAATACTGATAATATTGCAAAAAGATTTTTGAGGAAATATTTCTATGCAGAAAATTAAAACTTCAGTTGGCCATTTACCGGTTGGAATATATTTCAAGGAATGTAGCTATGATCGTGCAATTGTGTGTTATCAGTGTTACTTGTCCTAGTGTAATCCGTTTGTAAAAAATAACACCTGTTTGTTGGTTATGTCACATCACTACCCGATCTAGTTTACCATAGTCGAGTGTTTATTAATTACTTCATAATATAATTTAAATCATGAACCAATCAATGTTAGACCACCATTGAAAACCTGGGAGCACTGGATGGCCGTTTCGTCCTAGTAAGGGACTCCTCAGCAGGAAGATGGTCGTGCAATATCGTGGGTTAGTTGACGTTAAACATTAACACCGCGGGATGTCGACTTAGTGGACTAGAAGCTAAGCGTTCGTGCGTGGGTCTGGAGATCCTGGGTTCGAGTCCCGATTGCGTGATCGTGGATACACATTTTCGACGTATCCCACACTAGGACGAGACGGTTGTCCAGTGCTTCCAGGTTTTCAGTGGTGGTAAAATTCAACAATGTCCACAACCCCATACTTCATAAGTGTCATATAAGTTGTTCACTGATTACGGTAGTTAACTAACCGTATCGAAATCCACAAAAAGTAAATAAATATACAGGGAGATTGTTCAACTCAAATGTACATTAAACAAATTGAATCTCCTACAAAAAAAATATACAGCTAAAAACTGATGGGAGATAAATTTAATAGATAAGTGGAGCAGTCATTTTGGCGTATATATGAAAAGTTAAGTATGCGTAAATCAGAGAATAAGTTTAACACTGGGCCGTCGGAATGTAGCGTTTAAAACGGGAGAATTTTTATTCCTAAAGCCGTATGTTTTATCAAAATGCACAGAATAAGATAGATTTACCCAGTTCATTAAAACACTACGTGTTATCATTGGAAGAGTAATTCAGCACATCAGTACTCACACATAACTCCTCATGTAATTCGGTCCCGGACCACAATGCAATAATGATACAATCACTAGAACTTTGCCACTCTCATTTCAATACTTCAAGTATCACAACAGCGTACGGTTTAACGAGATACTAAGGCGAAGCAAGTATTGGCACCACATATTTTTCTGTTTATCTCTAAATAGGTTAGATGGTGCTTGACTAAGTAACCTAACAGTTAAAAGTCGCTGCCTCCACTGAGGATTCCATGGCCGAAGGAACTTGAGGACGGAGATGTGCCGGGATTCCTGAAAGAGTTTGAGGCCGGTGGGATTAAAGGAGCCTAAGGCGAAGGTGGTGGCGCTGGGGACGCTGCTGAGAGGCAGGGCGAAGGTTGTATATGACAGCTTGGACGGTGCCGGCGGGAAGACGGCATGGGAAAGTCACGGAGCGGTTGATCGCGGAGCTCGACTGCCCAGTTAACAACGAAGAAACACTGCAGAAGTTCCGGTCGAAGTTGTAGGTTGGTGGCGACCCACTGGTGCTGGCTATGGAGCTCACTAGGTTGTTGCGCTGCCGAATCCGGATGGAGTCAGAGGCACACCTGTTGCGGTCGCAGTTTATCGAGTGTGCATGTCACCGTTTCCCAGCAGCTGAAACTCGTAAACGCTGCACAACCTATGTATATCACTGAACTGGCGAAAATGACCCGACAGCAGCTCCGGTCGGGTGCAGAAGTCAGGAGATAAAGTGTCAAAAAGACTGAGGAGCTGCAGAGTGAGATTGCGGCACTACGAGTCATAAAAGGAGGGGCAAGACACTGGAAGATAAGCTGTCCAAGACGAAGATATTCTAGAAGTTATAACGCGTGTCTTTTCTACCCTAGGAATCTGGGGGTTGTTGCACTAGAGACAGACGGGCAGTCTACACAAGAGTGGACATAAATGAACGAGACTTAGTGTGTCTGATCGATACAGAGGCAGCAGTATCGTTAATAGACAAGGAGCAATGTAAGAGACTCAAGCCATGTACACTCGCAGTTCACACCATAGGAGGGCACATGTTAAAGGTATTCGGTGTGCTTAACAGTATTGTAAAAGTGGGTGGTGCCGAGATAAATTTCCTGTTCGTAGTAACCACAAGCTTATCGAGACCGATATTAGGAGCAGATTTCCTAAGTAAAAGTAATAGTTGACTTAAGAAGCGGCAAGGTGGTCCCAAAGTACGGTTTATTCCCAATACAAGAAAGTAGCAAAGTGGCTGCAATAAGAGTGGCAACGGACGTTTCAACGAAGAAACCAAACGTTGACGAGCTGTGAACAAAGTATACGAAACTGTTCACTGGAGACGGAGAGCCGTACGGATTTGGTGACAAAGCAAAGCACGAAATCCCGATAAAGAACGATCGAGTAAATATATTTGCAACACGTCGTGTCCCTGTACATTTAGAGGCTGAAGTAAATCCATATGTTGGAGGGTATAGTTAAGGAAGCGGACAGCCCATATAGCTCGCCGGTACTCTTAGTAAAGAGACCGAATGGAAAATTTAGATTTTGTGTCGATTTTAGAAAACTGTAACCTTGTGCATTGCCAACAGTGGTAGGAACATAAGATCAGCTACAAAATGCCCATAAAAGAGAGCGATTGAAACAAGGCCGCATTTACAGTACGTGATAAACAGAATCAATTTAAAATAACGCTGTGTGGGTTGGCGGGTGCACCGTTTACATTCAGAAGGTTAATGACGCTACTGCTCAGGGGTCTAGAAAACATCGAGGTATATGGGGACTATATAGTTGTTTACAGCCGGACAGAAACAGATCACGTCAAGCATGTGGAAGCAGTCTTAAAACGAATTTGGACTTCGAATTAATAAGGACAAGTCGCAGATAGAAAAAAGTAGCGTCACTTAGTTGGGACATAAAGTGAGAAATGGGGAAATAAAACCACAGCCGGAGAAAATTCTAACCATAAAGAACATTACAGTTCTTAATTCGAAAAGGAAATTGAGACAGTTCCTGAGGAGATCGTTCTAGAGTTGGTTTATAAGGAACTTCAACGATATAGAAGCACCCCTATATAAGTTTACTTGAACTGAGATTGCCCAACAAACGTTCAACCGAATAAAAAAACATGTTAGACGACCGCTATATGACGATCAGATTGCCTGAACCCGAGAAACCGTTTACAGTGGCCACCGACGCAAGTGATCATGGTATAGGTGCCGTTTTGAGTCAGTCTGATAGAGTGGTGGAATACGCGAGTTGCGTTCTCATACCCACTGAACAGAAGTATTCAACCATCGAAAAGTAGTGTTTAGCAATCGTGTAGGCAGCAGACAAATGGAGACCGTACCTTTTACGTAAACGACAACTTTAAGAAAAGGAGGGAGGCAATAAGGAACGCGGAAGAAAACAAATATCAGACATAAAGGAGGAACAGCGGGGGAGGATAGGGAAACCTTTTGCAGTGGGAGACCTAATAAAATGTAGAGAACAGAAAAGTAACATAGCAGGGGGATCAGGATCAAAAAAGCTAATCCCGAAGTGGAAAGGACCATACATTGTCACGGAGAGACGTGGCTCCGTTTACATATTTAAATAAGTGTTCAGTCCAATACAAATACGAAATCAACTGTACTAAGTAAGAATGTCACTGCAGGGTTACCACTTGATAGGAAATATAAAATAAAACCTTTCTTGGTACAATACATTTCGGTGTGTAACCTCTTCTGAAGTTTATGTCCATAGTACCTACCATTTTAAAAACTACGGTTCTCATAACTGACATTTTACCACGAAACACTTATTGATCTAAAGTTTACTAGGATATTTTTGTTGGGATTTCGAGTAATTTAAAATTATTAGACTGGTATCACCTAAAAGAACGCTAAAAATCGATAAACAGGTATTTTGTCCTGGTCTACGACTCCTATATGGGATAGTATCAAATAACTACAGATCTCGCGCTAAGTATAATACCACTGAATACTAGTCCAAAATTTTAATCGCTTATTTAATTTCGTAGATTACAAATCAAATACAATCCAGTACTCTGCGAATATCTTGATTAAGCACAATTAAAACATTACGAATTAAATCTTGTTTATGTAATCCTTTAGAAACAAACTAAGTACCGTAAAACACAATTTTGCACTGTTATCAGTTATCAAAGACAAAGTTGGCCAGTTATTTCACTCAAAGAAATATTGAATAAGAGACTACAACTAATATTTCTTTATTTCAAATTATTATTCATTTTTTTAGAAAAGTCATACTTAAAAATTCTTCATCTGTGCAATAAGCGATTAATGGAAAGTAGAAATTATCTGACTAGAACGATTAGAGATTGATAAAAAAAGGACGGTAGGGAGATTCAGTGAAAAAAAAAATGACCGTAAACTTTTTCGATCAGTAGATGGTGATGATGAGGAGAACTGTTGTCGGTGCTGTTTCAGCAGATTGACTACTTTATGTAAACAAATCGTATCAGTAAGCATTGATATAAATTCATTAATTAATTTATCTTTATGGGATTTCAAACCTTCATAAACCAGAGCTAAAAATACACGACATTCTAATTTTTTAATATAATATGTATGATTCAATTTCTCGTCATATACATAACGAGGTTGCTTTAAAACTGCACTAACATCAATTTTATCATCACCACTAAGATGAAGAGTACTGTTGATTTGCATAACAATTGTGTAAATATCAACCGGAGACAATGAGCTACCCTGTAAAGAATAAAGAAAAAATTAAATTAGTTGTAGCATCGTTGCAATTTTTTGTATTGTTATCGTTGTTATTCGCTAAATAGCCAACTAAGTAATAGATAAAAGTTCGAACATCATAAGTCAACAATATTTCTACCTTTAAACATTCTAACTTATTTGCTGATGACCTTGAGCATTAAGCACGTTCATAGACCGTGTGTGTTTATTCCTGTCAACATTTTGAGTAACCAATATTTAATGGCTAGATTTAAAATATTGGTTTATTTGTTATGTTAATTAGTAGGTAATAACAGAACTTAATAGGATATTCTACCAAGTACGGGAGTGATGCATTTAGGAAACATTGGTTTAATGAAGTATAGTAAATAATTTCCGTTATACATTCTAAAAGAAGACTTGAAATACTAATTAAATGAGAAGATGGAATTAAAAGAAAACGGGTTCGAATAAATAAACTAATAGCTGAGGCTCAAATGCTTAAATCGCAGAACTAGAAGAATACCTCATTGATGTTTACTTGTGGGATAGATACAATTCATTATTACGAAATCAGGTGTCTTTTAATAAACTACAAGGTGACTGGCGTTCTGAAATATCAACGATTTGACCCTAACTTTAATTCAACTGCGTGAAGTGTGTATATGAGGTTGTTCGACCCTTATTAATATTTTAAATTGTTAACTGGAAGCCATTTACAAGATATAATCTAAATGAATCACAAATTCTTTTTCATTAATATGATTCACATATATGAAAACAATATCTATAACGAGTAATGCTTTTGCGGTAGTACATGATGTATACACTTCTAGTCTACACTAAAGGCATAGAATCTACATCGAATTCTTTAGACTCCATATTTTTTGGTTATACTCAATGGTAACAGGATAGAGACAAACACAACACTGACGTTTAGAACTAATTGAAAACTATTAATCAATTGGTAAATTTGACCAACAATACTGGTTTATCTTGTAATTTCTAGTAGGTTTTTACACCGTACACTATAGTCATTTTAAAGTAGCGACAATAACTGCATTTCAAATCGAAATTAAGCACATGACGAGCCTATTAATTGTATTAGATGTTTCTCAGGCCAGAAATAAAATTAATTCAATAACAAATCTACATATGTTATAATCAGAAGAAAAAAGTTATGTAAATGGTAAAATTAAACAAATACAACAGATATTTTCCGCGTACCAACGGAGCATTAAAAATTGGTGGAATACTTTCAATTCCTTTTGGTGCATCACCAAAAGAACCTCTCAAAACATAACCATGTCCAAGGAATGAAATGACTGACAAGTTGTATCGAATAATAATGAGATATTTAGTGCATTAGATTCTCGTTGAAATCTTGTAATACTATAAAGAAAAAGAAAGTATGATTTGATCCATAGAATACAGAACAAGTGTACGATAATTTGTACTGAATAGTGAAAAGTGAATTTATTTAGCTACATTTGTAGCACAACTCTATTACTAAGTGTGAAAAACTTTAATTAAATTACAAGTTATACATCTGTTAAGTGTAAAAAGTTAGTATAGTTATGAGATAATAATAATAATATTAGTTTTTAGGCTACCTACAAACTCCTTATTTAGTGTATTAACACTAAGATAAATAAACAAGTAACTGCTCAGAGAAAATTCAACATGACAACAAAACCATTTAGTTTTGACAATCCGCAACACTATTTAACACTCCTTCGATTTGACCATATGGATACAAAAGCAGTGAATTCATTAGAAGTAAACTTAAATGTGCAATAATTAAAAATAAGCTTACGGTAGTTTTAATTATCTATCCATGTAAATCAGGACCTGTTAGTCAATAGAATAATACAGTACTTTTTGAAAAGGATAAGAGGAGAGACTTCACTGAAATGTGTTACATGGTCTCGGAAAGAGGAACAGCAAATCAATTAGGTGAAGCATATCTTGTAGTGTCAGTTATTATGCCAAGCCCATATACCTTATTTTAGCTTTCGGACATCCCATTCTATTCATTTTACTTGAGCCATATTTTGACCTTGTCATTTATTCGCTTGTCAGTCTTGATTGTTTTTATATGAGCGTATATGTGTGTGCCCGTCTTATCCTATTGATCACATGTCTGTAGCTTAATTTTGTCTGACTATAAATATTGAGTAACGCTCGACTAAAATGGAGTTGGCTTCCCAGCCATCTTCCCTGTGCGTCGTTTTGCTTGGCTCTGTTTCATTCACTTCATATACAAATATATGTATTCACAAATCAATTCTCGTTATTCGACTTATGTAATTCCGTTATTGGATAACGCGATCTAAGTCGACGATTATATACGAGAATAGGTGATAGCAAACATTCATACACTCTAAATGGAGTCAGATCAACGGGCCACTTCATTGGTAAGCCCGCCGACGACGAACGCAACGCAGCAAGCTACGTCGATGAAGGAACTTCTGCACTCTATACGTTCGACGAACAAATTCAGCGAAGCCAGCGCAATCTCTAATCCGACGGACTCAGCAAAGCCTGTGCAGCACGACATGGACATGCACAAATCTTATTATCTTATTGTTACTTTGTCCTCATGTCAACTATTCTCATTGATCCATTCGTCGGTTTGTTCGATTACGATTCAAATTATCATTATATGCTTATTATTATATTATTATCAATATCATGACCGAATGTGGAATTATTAATCTTGTTCGTGCTGTCACTAAATTGACATTTTCGCAATCATATCACTCACCGAACAAATTATCATTTTATGAAAATTCCACTCCACTTTGTGAGAACTCATTGGGATATTTTTACTATTCAAAAACGTGAAATTTTCCTGCTTTAAGTGAGTTCGTTCCAATTTTTCATGTCATTTTGATCTAATATTACATTCATTCACTTAGTCGAGGTCAGCAATTTATGTTATCACAACATACATTTTTCATTTCGAAATCGCCTCCTATTATGTCTGTGGATGCTTCTAACTAGCTGATTAGTAACCATTACGTTCATTTTATCTATTCTTCCACGTGCATAACTACATGCTGCATCACTTATCACTCGAAAACGCTATTCGAGTACTGCAACTACTATTCTATTCCCATCGCACTGCATATCAGAACATAGAGTTTAGAGCTAGTCTCTCAAAGATACACTCTTGTTCGTCACATCCAAGTCAGTCTCATAAGTCGCCATCGCTAATCATATGTATTGGTATTTTTGTCATGCCTTCGTACGGTTTTGTAACAAACGAGATCGAGTGCATCTCCCTCAAACCACACAAACCACTCTAGGCTTCACGACCAAAAAGGAATACGACTCTACGTACCTCGTCTACTCAGTCACTATTCTGTTCCTCTGGTCATTCTTCTACTAATACATATTTAACGATAACTCAATGCATCTGTCATAACGCAGACGACAACGTTCACTGACTTCATATTTTCTGATTATTGTCAATTGCAGTACAGCAACGAATATCACCCGTCGATGCAGTTATCATTTCACGACTTGCCTATTATCATTCTACGAACGGGAACAGCGCATTTGAATTCGAATTCACTCATCACTAGTCGATGCTATTTATTCTGCTGTGGCTCAACAGAACATATATTTAACGTATTTCACTATTTTGTCAGCATCACAGACCAATTTCTGTCATATTCTACTTTACTTATTTTGACGATTTATTTCGCTGTCATACCCACAAACAATTTATTACTATTTTCACGATATTTTGAATCACTCATACAAACTTGTTATTTTATCGTTCAGACAGTCATAGAATTAGCACATGTTAATTTTTTGTACGCTCATTAATTTGCTCATATTCGCATGCTAACATTTCCATTTTTGTCCGCGCCTTTTCGATATTCATGTATTCTTTTACATAAGTATGACATTTTCATATAATACACTCACCCCTCATGTGACACTGTAATTTATCGAGTGTTGTACAATTTTTTTTGCTACTTATTGTTAACGTTAACTTCATATCACTTCAGTGTTATTTTCGAAAACAGACATTTTTTAAATGTGCTATTTTCTACGAGGGGGCTATGTAGTGTCAGTTATTATGCCAAGCCCATATACCTTATTTTAGCTTTCGGACATCCCATTCTATTCATTTTACTTGAGCCATATTTTGACCTTGTCATTTATTCGCTTGTCAGTCTTGATTGTTTTTATATGAGCGTATATGTGTGTGCCCGTCTTATCCTATTGATCACATGTCTGTAGCTTAATTTTGTCTGACTATAAATATTGAGTAACGCTCGACTAAAATGGAGTTGGCTTCCCAGCCATCTTCCCTGTGCGTCGTTTTGCTTGGCTCTGTTTCATTCACTTCATATACAAATATATGTATTCACAAATCAATTCTCGTTATTCGACTTATTTAATTCCGTTATTGGATAACGCGATCTAAGTCGACGATTATATACGAGAATCGGCGATAACAAACATTCGTACATTCTAAATGGAGTCAGATCAACGGGCCACTTCATTGGTAAGCCCGCCGACGACGAACGCAACGCAGCAAGCTACGTTGATGAAGGAACTTCTGCACTCTATACGTTCGACGAACAAATTCAGCGAAGCCAGCGCAATCTCCAATCCGACGCAATCAGCAGAGCCTTTGCATCATGGTATGGACATGCTCAAGTCGTATTATCTTATCGATACTTTGTATTCATGTCAACCATTCTCATTGATCCATTCGTCGGTTTGTTTAATTACGATTCAAATTATCATTATATGCTTATTATTACATTATTGCCAATATCATGACCGAATGTGGAATTATTAATCTTGTTCGTGCTGTCATTAAATCATGACATTTTCGCAATCATATTACTCACCGAACAAATTATCATTTTATGAAAATTCCACTCCACTTTGTGAGAACTCATTGGGATATTTTTACTATTCAAAAACGTGAAATTTTCCTGCTTTAAGTGAGTTCGTTCCAATTTTTCATGTCATTTTGATCTAATATTGCATTCATTCACTTAGTCGAGGTCAGCAATTTATGTTATCACAACATACATTTTTCATTTCGAAATCGCCTCCTATTATGTCTGTGGATGCTTCTGACTAGCTGATTAGTAACCATTACGTTCATTTTATCTATTCTTCCACGTGCATAACTACATGCTGCATCACTTATCACGCGAAAACGCTATTCGAGTACTGCAACTACTATTCTATTCACATCGCACTGCATATCAGAACATAGAGTTTAGAGCTAGTCTCTCAAAGATACACTCTTGTTCGTCACATCCAAGTCAGTCTCATAAGTCGCCATCGCTAATCATATGTATTGGTATTTTTGTCATGCCTTCGTACGGTTTTGTAACAAACGAGATCGAGCGCATCTCCCTCAAACCACACAAACCACTCTAGGCTTCACGACCAAAAAGGAATACGACTCTACGTACCTCGTCTACTCAGTCACTATTCTGTTCCTCTGGTCATTCTTCTACTAATACATATTTAACGATAACTCAATGCATCTGTCATAACGCAGACGACAACGTTCACTGACTTCATATTTTCTGATTATTGTCAATTGCAGTACAGCAACGAATATCACCCGTCGATGCAGTTATCATTTCACGACTTGCCTATTATCATTCTACGAACGGGAACAGCGCATTTGAATTCGAATTCACTCATCACTAGTCGATGCTATTTATTCTGCTGCGGCTCAACAGAACATATATTTAACGTATTTCACTATTTTGTCAGCATCACAGACCAATTTCTGTCATATTCTACTCTACCCATTTTGACGATTTATTTCCCTGTCATACCCACAAACAATTTATTACTATTTTCACGATATTTTGAATCACTCATACAAACTTGTTATTTTATCGTTCAGACAGTCATAGAATTAGCACATGTTAATTTTTTGTACGCTCATTAATTTGCTCATATTCGCATGCTAACATTTCCATTTTTGTCCGCGCCTTTTCGATATTCATGTATTCTTTTGCATAAGTATGACATTTTCATATAATACACTCACCCCTCATGTGACACTGTAATTTATCGAGTGTTGTACAATTTTTTTGGCTACTTATTGTTAACGTTAACTTCATATCACTTCAGTGTTATTTTCGAAAACAGACATTTTTTAAATGTGCTATTTTCTACGAGGGGGCTATGTAGTGTCAGTTATTATGCCAAGCCCATATACCTTATTTTAGCTTTCGGACATCCCATTCTATTCATTTTACTTGAGCCATATTTTGACCTTGTCATTTATTCGCTTGTCAGTCTTGATTGTTTTTATATGAGCGTATATGTGTGTGCCCGTCTTATCCTATTGATCACATGTCTGTAGCTTAATTTTGTCTGACTATAAATATTGAGTAACGCTCGACTAAAATGGAGTTGGCTTCCCAGCCATCTTCCCTGTGCGTCGTTTTGCTTGGCTCTGTTTCATTCACTTCATATACAAATATATGTATTCACAAATCAATTCTCGTTATTCGACTTATTTAATTCCGTTATTGGATAACGCGATCAAGTCGACGATTATACACGAGAATCAGCGATAACAAACATTCGTACATTCTAAATTGGAGTCAGATCATTGGGCTACATCAAGAGTACTCATAATAATTAATTGATGACTAAAAGAAAACTGTAAACATTGAATGTATTAATATTGTGAAGTTAGAACACAATTGAAAACCTGAAGGCAGTGGACGGTCGTTTCTTCCTATTGTAGTACTCCTCAGCAGTGCACATCCACGACCCCGCCTCGCAAGATTCGAGCACAGCAATTATCAGTCTCGTACGCGATTGCTTAACCACTAGATCACTGAGCCGAACAACATACAACGATGTTAATGGTGAACTTCAACTAATACACCAAATTGAGCCACACATCAACCATTGTCATCAGTCAGTTATTATCTCACAACAGACACAGTTGAACTCCACTGATCACTGCTTCTCATTACAACTCCAAGAAATACCTCACGAAGTTAATCACTATTGAGCATATATTGAATAATATGAGAAGGTATTTTTGTGGATATTATAGTAATTTTGAATAATTAGTGAGTGGATGGTGGATGTTTACTGCTGAGGATTCCGATAATAGGACGTCCATCGCTTCCAGGTTTCCATGGTGTTCTACCTTCAATTGACTCATGACCTCAACTATTAAAAATTACTATAATATCCTCATAATACCCTTCTAATATTTTGATTATAAAACTGTGGTTTTAAATTTTGAATACTGAAAGCTTACGACAAAAACTTTCAAAAGTACTTGACTAGAAATCTTTAATAATGAAAACGTATGATTCTTAGACTTACTACTTCTTGGCTAAGTAGTCTCGCACGAGACTGATAGATCCTGTGTTCGAATCTCGCGAGGCGAGATCTTGGATGCGCACCGCTGAAGAGTGTCACAATAGGACAGAACGACCGTCCATTGCATCCAGATTTTCCATGGTGGTGTAGCTTCAATTAACGCATGATCTCAACTATTGAAATTATCTTTATTTGTTTAGCACCAACCTATTTGTATTAATAATTTTCTATTGTTTGTTTGAATCTCCCTATGATTAAAAATTTGTAAAAATTAGATAAAGCGATGACGTTTGGAGCGAATGGCATTGGGTTTAAGTCCTGAAGTGAAGATCAACTCTGAGATGTTGGTACACCCAGTTGACGAGTCGCAAATAGGACGAAACGCGCATCCTGGTTTTCATTGCTAACCGCTATCCATCTTTGCTTAAAACTACTTGTTTTATGTTCAGTGAACAAGTTTGCACTTTTTAGTTGTACAAATACAAATAATATGAATATCATTCTGAGATGGTAGAGAAGATTTGTAACTCATGTGGATGATTTTGATGGAGGTTTGTTCTCTGAACTGGATGGTTTGGTCGTGAAGCTTTCATCGTTCTTCTGAACGATATCATCAGTACAAACTTCGGGTAGGAGTGAAGTGTTCGAGTTTCTCTTGATGATGTCGTTCAGAAGACGATGGAAGCTCCATGACCAAATCGTCCAGCTCAGAGAAAAAAACTTCATAAAAATGAATATCATTCTCTACTGTTAAAAACTTTACATTATTTATCCAATAGAATTCAAAATTATTTTGATAAATTGATCTTTGAAAGTTATACTATTTGATTGTGTAATTATCAGTGAAATAAATGAAGTGTAAATGAGTTTTAATTACTTTCTTACTGTATTTATCCATATCTTGTTTAAATAAAACACACTTTTTTTCAGAGTTGCATAATCCAATTCGACACCCTTCATCAATATATACCTACTAGTTTTAATGAAACCATACTTATATTCGTAAACTTTTGTTACTTCTTGAAATTTAAGTTGAATAAATGCTCTAGATGTTATGTGATTGAATTCTTTTAAGAAAATCTTAAAGGTTCATTCAAAGTTTAACTTACATAACGAAAAGATTTCAATTATACTGTCGTGTAATTCTACTTGGTTTTAAAAGTCTGTCTAGTTTAACTTGAGTAAGTGGTGAAAAACATAACTTGATATTCACTTGATATTGTTTGACTTGTATCTTTACATTGAAGTTTAAGTGACTTTCAGGGCTCTGTAGCTAAGTGGGTAACATGATGGCAATTGAAGCGAATGGTACTGAGTTCGAGTCCAAGAGTGAACATCAACTCTGAGATGAAGGTACATCCAGCTAAGGAGTCCTAAATAGAACGAAATGCGCGTGCTGGATTCCACTGCTAGTCACTATTCATGATTGCTTAGAAATAACTTGATATTGCTTTCTTAAAGCAATAGTGAGATTTTTCTAAATGAACTACGAATTCTTAACTATAAAATATAATCATATTTAAAATCATAACCGAATGAATAATCAAAACAACATATGAAATGCAGTGACCAGTGTAGTTCAACTGTGTCTGTTGTGAGGTAGTAACTCACTGATGACGATGGTGGATGTGTGGCTCAATTTCGTGTATTAGCTTAAGTTAAACATTAACACTGTTGGATACTGGCTCAATAGTCTAGTGGTTAGGCGTTCACACGCGAGACTGACAGATCCTGGGTTCGAATCTCTTGAGGTCGTATCCTGTATGTGCACTGTTGAAGAGTTCAACAGTGGGGCGAAATGACCGTCTAGTGCTTTTATGTTTTCCATGGTGGTCTAGATTCAACTGAATCATGAATTCAACTATAAAATTACTAAAATCTCCATAAAAGCCTTCTGATAATATGTTTTAGTGATACAAAAACGAATGATATGATTGTATATATACATATGATTGATCACCCAGATATTCACTCATTGATCTATTCAATTGACAGGTTCAAATCCCTCAAGTAGTATCAATGCATCCAAAGTTATAAATATTTCTTTCTGAAGAGTTCCAATTCACACATAACCTAGAATAAAGATTTCCTGGAGTCTAAATCCAAACACTTGAATACTTCTATCACACTACTCTTTGAAACTTTTGTATACTTTTTCGGATTAAATAACTATACATTCATTATTCATGGTCATATAGAACGGAAATAAATGAGAAAACATTAAAGATAGAAAATTAATGGGATAAAGATGAAAGAGTTAATAATTTGTAATAAAATAAAACAAAAACAAAAAAAAACTTTCAAAGGAAATATAAATTGTAACCAAGTGTTGATAGGAAAACTAATACTTTATTCTGTTATTTTTTTACTTTCTAATCATAAAGTTACTACAAATTTTATCAAATTGTTTATCAACTATTCTTATGATTGTGTTATGATTTCGATTTTCTTTACATAAACTGGTCAACTACGTGTTTCTAACTGTGATGCATAGATACTGAATAATTTTGAGATATTTTGACATATTTAATTAGTATATTCTAAGTTTGTGTATTGACTTTGATAGTTGAAATCATGAGTCAATTAAAAGTAGAACACCATGGAAAACCTGGAAGGACTGGATGAACGTTTAGTCATATTGTGAGATTATTCAGCAGTGTACATTCACGACCAACTCATCAACTATTAAATATTACTATAATATCCACAAAAATACCTTCTCATATTATTCAATATATGCTCAATAGTGATTAACTTCGTGAGGTATTTCTTGGAGTTGTAATGAGAAGCAGTGATCAGTGGAGTTCAACTGTGTCTGTTGTGAGATAATAACTGACTGATGACAATGGTTGATGCGTGGTTCACTTTGTTGGATTATTTGAAGTTAAACATTAACATCGTTGTATGTTGTTCGGCTTAGTGGTCTAGTGGTTAGGCGTTCGCACGCGAGGTCGATATTGCTGTCGATTCATAGACGACACACAATTTGTGTTCGACGAAACTATCGACAAACATAGACTGTTGGACAGTTTCAATAATGTCCACTCAGCTATGAAATTCACCAGCTAAGAGGAGGAAAATAACAGCGTAACTCTCCTTGATGTCCTGTTTTCCAGAAGAGTAGACGATACCATGAAAAAATGTATTCAGAAAGAATATATGGATGGGTCAGCATACCCATTTTTATAACTTAACACTTCAATACAAAAAGTTAGTTAAATGTCTCAGCCAATAGCGAAATGGATAAAGTGAAGAACACATTGAGTAATAACTGCTATCTAGATAATTTCCTCAGGAAATTTCTTTCAGAAGGTAAAATAGAACAAACCCTGACAAGGTCGGTGGAAAAATCTCTATCTGAAACTAGATTTCAAAGGGAACATAGAGGTTGACATTTCAACACGTCGACTCAAAAGGTCTGTTGGTAGGACGTTTCACACCGCCGAGTCACATGTAATTTCCTCAACCAAACCGGTACATGCATAACAAATTAAGGAAAGGTTATTGATGATGGGCTCCTCCATTTGTGTATGCCAATTCAACTGGTCCTTTGGAGCTAGCTACATATGCCATACTCAAAGCATTTTCGTGAGTGTTCGTGAACATGTACCAGCATGTTTTGGAAAGGGAGTCACTAAATTGTACAACAGAGCTATTCTTTCTCACTTAGTAGATAGTAAACATTATAGTAAAATAGATTATGCTTTCTGTGTTTTGTATCAAGTTGCAAATAATCTATCTTAAGGCGCTTAATTATGATCTCTGTACATAGCTCGGTCAACTTCAGACAATCTGACTTATACATCCGAAAGAGGTATGCTCAGCTTCGGTGCTTAGTTGAATCACCATGTACCTAAACTGAATATCAGTAACCTCTTATAGCTCCTCTCAGATCCTTTTGTGTTTACGTCTTTTCATCTTTCCCGATTTATATGAATTCTT